ATCCTTTATTTACTAGTGCGATAACCATCGCTGGCTCAATTACTTAGTTAGATTTATATGAATACTTTGGATCATCGTATAATCCCATATAATCGTAGAGCACAGGAATCAATTTCCCGGCACAATAGCCCTATCAGCAAGTGGGGTAGCCACTTGAATGTAGCGATAGGGTTTCAACTGAACTGGAGCAGGAAGGTACGAAATATTTTGCAGCCGTGGTCAGTGGTCGGCCGCAGTTCTTGTTTTGCTCATCGTTAATTGATTATAGCTTGTATCCAACGTGGAGGCCGCAACCTCCGAAAGCCCACCAAAACCAAAGCAACCGAGAGAGCCCTTCCTGCCAGCCATTCCACTTCGACTCCCTTCATTCTGTTGCCGTACATTTAGTTTTGTTCGTTGCCCCTCGCCATACCCGTCCTGCGTCTTGGTGTAAATCTATAATGAGCCGCAGTTTATGGCGATTCCACCTTCCAGCCTTCCCCAGCTTATCCGCCACAAATTACCCAATACTGCATTAAATATTTGCTTTATTCTTACGTGATGATTGATTCCTTTATTGTTACAAATAGGAGCATGAAACGTTACAGCAATATATTTTTCATTACTTTCCCAACATTTGATTTAAAACTGTACATATTGATCGAAAATTAATTCAGTAAGTTTACAGTCCTGCTTAAACAGTCAGAAGTCAAATAAAAACGCAGTCTAATTTTGCCATTCAAAAGAAATTTATTGATCAAATTCTTATCCCAAAGATTCTTATCTTTGCATATCTTGCAGTTAAAATAAACGTTCCAATGTGTCAAAACATTACCTGAAAGATACATGAAATTTGGATTTATTATTACGATTAGCGAGACATATTACAGAAGTGTAGAACCTTTTAAAGTAGATCATCACCCTGCCAGAATTCAGATTCGCAATGTTCGGCGAGTCTGAAACGCCCGAAGGAATTTGAAACGATCAGAAAGTTATCGATCACAGTAACCTTCCTCGCTGGCCGCCGTCTACCTGTTTCGGACACGTCAAAGCATGGACATGGAACCGGCTGTCTTCTCGTTTGTTTCAAAGTCTCGTCACTCATTTTTCATACGTTTACATCGTCGATGCCGCCGCCGTAGGTTCCTTTCGATACTAAAAGCACGAAAGAGAAAGCGATATAGGGAGATGGAGAGGGAGAGAGAAGGATGGAAAAGAGGAAGAAATTGAGGACGGGACGAAGAGGGGTAATCGCTCTCTTCTCCGTGCCGTTCGAAGTAGCGGCTCTTTCCGCCCTTTGTTCTTCCTCGTAAGTTTTCTTCCTCTAGGCACGGGGGAAACAAAAGACAAATTACAGAGACGCCCATCATGTGACCCTTCCCACCTGTCTATAAACGACCTGGACTAGTCCAGAGGAAACGAGAACACACCAAAGACAACTACAGAAGGAAGATACATGATCCGGATGACTCGGTCGCGTGTACTTTTACGTTGAGAATCTGTTTTTTCTTCACACCTTTAATTGTCATATTTTTCTGAGACACGTTTCTTCATTGCCCCGACGAGAATGTCTGCGGATTAATCACAAGTGCAACGGAACGATGCAAAACGTAAAAAAAAAAGGAAAAAAATGAACAGTATGAGAGTTCCATCAGCTGTTCGTGAACGTTCCAGTGTAGGGAAAGGAAGAATGGAAGGGACGCAAAACGGACGCGAGTCGAAATTGAACAGGGTCTTGCGTGCGGATCGCTCCCATTTCTATAATTGCTGTTTTCTGCCATTGATGTTTGCTATAATTGCTGCTTCATGCTACGGACAGTTCTTGCGCCAGATATTTAGAAGTCAAAGTTTATTGCCGAGTGTAAGATATTTCTTAGACGCAACAAACAGAAATTTCGATTAGAGCGCATAAGTGGGCACTCGAAACCACAATACAAATTTTACGTTCACACCATTAAGGTGTTTAATGTGGTCTATATATCAACGGTTTTGTCTCTTTCGACAAAGTATCGGAACAAAAAGTCCAGCACATGTGCTTAAAGAAGTGATAGAAAGACATCGCGTCACTCTCGATGTTATGTTTTATCAGAAGGACACGATGAAAACACGTCCCGACATTCTGTATTGAGGGGATGCACGGAGCGACGGCCGTCGCGTTTATCACGGACATCAACATCTGCTCCACCGACGATTGACGAGCTATTACGTTATAACGCGAGTTCGCTGTTATTTTAATACCTCTTTTCTCTCCCGTTATACCTCTCCGTCATTGACTTCTTCGTCATTCGCAAGCGCGATCAATGTATCCTTTAATGGAATCTTCATGTTAGGAACCTTTTGATCATTCTTTTACAAAACATACGTGTGGTGACAATTTCAACCGGATGCGCCCGCAGACGAGGCAGACAGCGTGATATACGAAAATACAAACTCTATTTTCGTACTCTATCATTCTCACCTCGCACACGATCCTGTCAAGCCGCGCTCTTCATGTTGACTACACCTTGACAGTTCGTCATCTGCTACATCGTGTCGCAAGAACGAAAAGCTCGCTAGCAACGCTGATATTTTCGTCCAGTCTTGGAAAAAAAAAGTCGTCATCGCGCCGCAAAATAGTAACGCCTGTCACTAATTTGGACGGGCAAGAAGCGAGACGACATAGTATCGTTAAATTCGTAAACGTATGTCTTTTATTTAACAACTCTTGAAGAAGCTGCGATGTTTGATTAATTAAGCCGATTGATTATCAATCGGCTTGATCAAAGCCGAGATATATACGACGCTTAACACATAATATCTATCTGTCTTTATTAACAACGACTTAAACAACTCAATTGCGCCGATAAATATTCAAGTATATTATCCAATCCAATTATTTTTTGCAATAATTCCAAAATTGCAGACATTTTCCAGGCTTTCTGAGACACATTGTTTCGTATCGTGTGTATTTTTCGTTCAGTAGACAACATTGTTATTAATTTGTTATAAATAGTTGCTTTCTAGCTTAATATCGCTATACATTTATTGTCAAATTGAATTAAACTCCTGGAACGATTGAACAGATACAGGGCGTGGAGTGGAGTTTGATCGACAGTTTCGTCCAACCAATCGCCAGACCGAAATGCTGATGAGCCCCACGTCAATCATGCGATACTTTCATCTCACCACCATCACCCTCACCCTATGGAAACTCCACGTGCAGGATTTGCTAGGTTCAAAGCTTACTACACCTTCAGTCTACGCCCTTCTCTCTCTCTCTCTCTCTCTCTGTCTCTCTCTCTCTCTCTCTCGCTCTCTCTCTCTCTCTCTCTCTCTCTCTCTCTCTCTCTCTCTCTCTCTCTCTCTCTCTCTCTCCTCTCTCTCTCTCTCTCTCTCTCTCTCTCTCTCTCTCTCTCTCTCTCTCTCTCTCTCTCTCTCTCTCTCTCTCTCATCCCCGAGGATCTTTTCTCTCTTTCTCTCCCTCTTTCTCTTTCCTTCTTCCTCTCCTCTCTATTCTCCCTCTCTCTATCTAACTGTCTCTATCACACACCTTCTCCGAACCTTTCCCAGCCACTATATCTTCCTCTTTTTACCTTTCGTCATCTCTATGTCTCTTTTTTCCGTTTCATTCGATTATGTTCCGTCTCTTTCTTCTTTAACCCCTGACGACTCATCCTACTGTCGAACCACCCTTCAGCCACCCTTACATCCGCTCGCACGCTATGGGGTAGTTTAGCATCTCGAGCCTACGAAACGAACCACCCCCTCGCTGTGCCCCTTCGTCCGAACTGCGTCACGCCGTATCGGTTTTTTTCTCTCGTGATACGGCGACGCGTAAAAAAGTGTAACACCCCTGATCCTTGATAAAAAAAGCCCAGGTGGTCAATGACCGATGGGATATATACAATATTTCCCTTCGCGATATTGACGTTCGTCAAAGATTTTTTCCTACATTCGAACAGTACACGTACGATACATGTATCATATAATAAATCCATATGATAAGAAGATGAATAAAAGTATTTTTAATAGCTGCGTGTTCATTATATTTTTAAATCTGTCAGAGTGACATTCAACTTTCTCAAGCCGAACAAGTCAGCCGTTGTATTCCCCGAACGCAGCCAATGTTTACGGCAAAGCTTTCACGCCAATGTTACTTTTAAAACAACGCGAGCTAACGGAGAGCTATCAAGTTTGACTGAAAAATTACCACTGTGGGCATGCAACGCATTCCATGCGATTACGATAGACAGCTATGAATAATTGTTTTTACGGCAATTGGATGGAAATTATTATTACACCATGTGCCTCGACCAAGCACCATGAGATTCTTGGTCGTTACTTTCTAAACCAGATCCATCCCACATAAATCGCGATGCCTCACCTCCTTGCATCGTCTCTTCTCGCTCCTCGTGCCATCCTGCATTCTCATCTTCAGAAACCTGCGTGGTATTTCTCTTGTTATCGCGGAACAAGTTTCTTGTCCGATAACAATTAGGAGGTGTTTCGCATCGACATGGAATAGTGCCGGTGGGAAACTTACCCAAAAGTTTGTAAGGAGTCGAGTAACCCGCCGGAACAACACCAGAATGGGCCTCTTCGCCGCTCGGGAATCTTCGCTCATGCATTGTTAAGGATGTCATGTCGCATCCACTTCCCACCACCTCTTTCTCTCTAGCTTGCTTAAATGATCATTAATTAGGACACCACTTACTTGCTGCAATAGACAAAAAGAGGACATTGTTAGGTGGTAAGAACGGCGCAAATATCAAGGTACCGGAATTAACGCGTGCTGCATAAAAAGTAGAACTAAAAAGTATAAGTGAACGAAAATGTACCGATAGGTTAAACGTATCTTTATAGTATTAGCAAAATATCTAAAACTATCTAAACTACGTTGCTTCTTATCAACATATACAAGTATGTGAGCTCATGAACTGAAATAACTCAGTCGTGCCTGCTTACTTGAAAGACACGTGTTACATTATCCTTGAACTGTCCTGATGACGTCAATTAAGGAGGAGTGAATTTTTATGTTGCAGAAAACGGCCTACCAAGAAGATTGCGAACTGCCTACACGAATACACAACTCCTCGAGTTAGAGAAAGAGTTTCATTTCAACAAATACCTTTGCCGACCACGGAGAATAGAGATCGCCGCTTCTTTGGATCTTACAGAGAGACAGGTAACAATTTGAATCGAACAATTCTATACTAAAATCACCCGTTTTATTTCTCCCCTTTGTGTTGTGTTTTCATTTCAAAAATTATCTAATTTTTTAAATATCACAGAGAAGCTTTCTTATCCACTACACAACTATCAGGATGTATGTGTGTATGTGTGTGTGTGTGTGTGTATGTGAGAGAAAAAAGAGAAAGAGAGAGACCATCAACTCCTGTGTTGTTTTTGTTTGTTAATTAAAAACTAAATGAATATGTCATTTTATCGTTCTCTTAGGTTAAGGTTTGGTTTCAAAACCGACGAATGAAGCACAAACGACAAACACTTAGCAAAGAAGACGGCGACGAGAAGGACGGTTCTACTTCGGATGGGATGGAGAAGACCAAGAGCGACAAGATGTTATCCATCGATAACGACGAGAAGAAGAGTTGTCATAACTGTGATATTTCGAGCGTCGGCGACGTCGGGAGCACCCTTACCGGTGACGTTACGGATTTGGGTTCATCCGGCCGAAGGAGCAGCAATAACAATAATACACCCGGTGCGACTAACAATAACAACAACACCAACAACAACAATAACAACAACAGCAACTCCGGCTTCAACACAAACAGCAACGGTGCTAGTAGCGTCGGCAGCACGAATAGCGTGACCAGTTCGTTCGAGAAGATGATAGTGGACGACGACTCAAGATCGCAGGATGGGAGCGAGGTGACGTCGCCGAGCGTGACGAAGAAATTGTCGAGCGAGGTGAGAGTGAAGGTCGAGAGCGGCCACAAAAGTCCGAACACCGCGAAGCAACAACAAATTGCAGTGAGCAAGAGATCGCCATCGGCCAACACGAAGGATATGTGCTCAGTGAACAGCAATGGCGTGTTACTAGCCATGCCGGACTCCACGGTCAGCACGCCGGTTCTGCCCGGTCAGAATTCCACGAGAAGTCTGACACCTTCCTCCACACCGGGAACACCCGTGTCCGTCCAGCTGCAGCAGGGCAGCCCGCTCGGTATCCAGCAGGCGACTCACACGGCCTACATGCAGCGACCGCGAAGCTCGCCGTCGTCGACGACGTCGCTGTCGGGTCCGATGTTGCACGTGAACGCGAACCCGGACACGATGTCACCCCACGGCGGCCGGAGTATCTCTAACAATCAGCAAGCGCATTTCCAGCAGCAAGGTGTATATCAGACCACACCAGCGCTCGATTACCGGAACGGCCTGTCCGCCAGCAGACAAAGCGTACCAACAGCGACGCAACAAACTCAGATGCAGGGCGGTTACTGTTCCAGAGACACGTACCAGCAACCAAGAATCTCATATCCGGCTGAGGTGCATCCCTTGTACGTGAGACAGAACCAAGTGGTGGGATCAAGAATGGCGCATCACGTCAGAGCGGCGGGCACAGCGTCGAGGTCGATGTACGGCGCCAATATACAGTTCCAACAGCAACAGTCGCAGTATGGCAGCACCGGAGAGTACAATGGATACCCCCAAGCTGGACCGCCTTATCACGCTTCTTATCACAGAAGCATGCAAAGCGCCAATGCCTACAGCTCCGGTCAAGGAGGATACTCGGCCGCGCAGAGCGAGCAAGGTACCGACGGCTATATGACTTCTGGAAATTACGGTTATTCGACTAGCGGTAGCTATCACAGCGCGAGCGAGAATCTTGCGGCTCACGGCCACGCCGCCGTGTCCGTGCAGACCGCGCAACACTACTACAACGATATCCAGCAGCAACAACAGCAACAGCAGCAGCAGCAGCAGCAGCAGCAGCAGCAGCAGCAGCAGCAGCAGCAACAACAACATTCCCAGCAACAGCACACCGCCGAGGGCTATGTGACTCATCAGCCGGCCATGCACTCCAGCTCCGGCGATTATCGACCGGGGAACAAGTGTCACCCGAGCGCGTATTACGAGCCAACCGGTCAGCTGCACGTTCATCAGGGCGGTGAGGCCTCCAGCATCCCGAGCAGTTACGTCTCGTCGCCCGATCCGTTCCCAGCGCCCGGGATGACGACAACCGCGACGGCGATCGCACCTGCCACAGCGGCGGTTATCACACCACCCGGAAGCGCCGGCCAGGCTGACAGCAACAACGAGTCCTACGGCAATTACGGGAATTTCTACGGCGAGCCGGTACATACCGCCGCGCCGCCGCCGTCCGCCGATAACAGCAACAGTTCATCCGACTTCAACTTCCTCAGCAATCTGGCGAACGACTTCGCGCCCGAGTACTATCAGCTCAGCTGAGTCCACGAGACCGAGAACCCTTGCCAGCTGGATTGGGGCGACGAGCAGTGCCTGCTCAATGCCTTGTACTGAAGAGTTGCGTTGTGGTATGTGGCTGTATAAAAATTCCTCGTGATTTGTGTACATACTCGTGATCTACTAGGACTACCGTGTATGAAAGAGATTGCGAAGACAAAAGTGGTGTCTAAGGATGGGAGAGATAACCGGAGGTGTCGATACGTAAAACATACCATGTTCGATCTTGGTTCTCGAACATCTCCCAGTTCACATAGGAATTCCTTTTGAGAGTCTGGCGAAATTATTTTCGGGGCTGAGATTGAATTGGCCAAGCAATCGAGATTGTGCGTGTGTGTGTGCGTGCGTGCGTGTATATATGTGTGTGTGTGTATGCGTGCGTGCGTGTGTGATTTAGCATATTTGTATATAATAAAGCCTGAAAACGTTTGAATTATATCTGATTTTAACAAATGCAAGCATATCTCAAGTAATCCAGAGAAATTGGTCGACTGTTCTAGGTTGTAACGAGATATAGCCTAGACTATAATTCCGTCAGTCATTTTATTCGAGTAAAATATCAATTTTAATGTTTCTCTCGTCGTCGGAAACGACATAATCCCTATTGTTTTGTACTCCAAACGTTGAAGGACATTACATAAATATAAAACGGTGACAACGAGTGCAATGGTTGTGTTAATATTAAATTGGAACGATGATAACAGAGTTCCTCTACCTTGAGAATTTTTGCAAAGTCGTGAATGAACTTATCGCCACCATTACGATGTAAAACGCACCTATTCACGGGGAAGTGAACTTGTGAGTGATATTAGACTGATATATACGAGCTGTGGTTTAAAAATGTGCATAAAAATGTTGTAAATATATCAAAGATTCGCTGTTGTGACATGGGAATTTAATGGTATCTCGATTCAATGGATTCTCGTGAATGGAAACATGAGACGTAAGTGCAATCATGCTGCGAACAGTCTCTACGTTAACGTTTCGTTAAAACGTCCGTCAACAAAATCGTTATAAATCATCGATGCGATGTTTCTTTCATTTCTGGTGTAACTTCAACTTCTGACATCGAGGTATACTCGATTTTAAAGCATTCAACTTTATTTCAACAAAAACGGGACAATCTCCGAGAAAATTTTGAGGGAAAGCATTTAAAATATTTCGTTTACAACTGTTTAATTTTTAATGATAATTAATATGATATATATAACGACATGATTTTCATTTGACATTCGGTTTGCATGACAAAACGAAACGAAGCTGTAGATCCATGAGCAATAATTAATAATGAAACTGTGTACATATATATCATAGATAGATTAATGGAGCACAAATAAATAGAAAAATCGCATCTATACACAATTACTATACTGAGTACACAAACTTCTGAAAAATGAAATAGGTACAATCTGTTAGTTTTAAATAAACACAAGAAATAGACGTCTAACGCTCTCTTATATAACAAAAAGAGTCGTCCTCTCCTATTAAATATAGAGTATAGTAAAAATTGGTTACTTGGTCCCTATTGCGAAGAAAATAAAACGAATGCACTTGTAAAAACTCTACCAACTCTGTCCGTTTTGTGAAAAAATGAATTCAGATCGATCGATATATGATTCTATGTTGTATACATAAACACAAATGTCACTTAATGATATCGAATATCGTTGAGCAATACTTCGTACGATAATCAGCATCTTCCCAACTGTGCGGAGTGTCCGCCCTAATGTCATTTTTTCACAAATCGCGTTTCTTTTCTAATCTCTCTACTAGCGCTATTTTAAGCAAACCAAATAAATTATTATCTCTCTTTTAGCAATATAAATGTAAACATAAATAGAGATGTAACTTTAATTTTCACCTCGCGGCAATATATTTAATACGCAGCCCTTTTTGTATAAAACATTTAGACGCCGTCATTGTTCATGTAAAGATTATCTCATGTACATAATGCGTATACGATAACCGTCTATTGTTTATTCATTCTAACTGTATAATTGTGTTGCAAGTGAGCCCTTGACACGATAAACAAAGTTATCACACGTGTACATTCGTTCACCGACACATTTGGCAAATACAGGTCACAGTGAAAAGTAAAAAAGAGTGTTTTTCCCTTTTCTTTTTTTAATACGCTCTCTTTAACCGAGGCACAAGGGTGTCGATCTCTCCTTGTCTATTTCTATGATTGGAAGTACTAACGGGAAGTCGCTTGGAATTTGAAAATATCGCATAAGTCAACGAATGATACAGGAAATCGCAACTTTAACGATGGAGTGACCATGAACGGAGGTGGAACGCGTGAATTTCGATCGTAGGTGGTGCGATCTGCTGCGCGGGTAATGGAAGTGACGATGATGGATGACCCGAAATATCGGAGCAATTGAATTGAAATATTATTCTTAGCAACGTTCTTACACCGTGTCAACTTTACATTCTATTCAGAGATTACACACCATTTGTTATGTCCAGGGAAATCTGCGCGAGCATAAATTAATTTATCACGACCGAATAAAGTTAGGAAAAAATGCAGACGGTAACTTTCTCCTTTTTCCTCTTTTCTCTCCCCTCTCTCTTGCCCCCTCCCCTTCTCTTTTTGTTCCCCTCTCTCTGTCTCTCTCTCTCTCTCTCTCTCTCTCTCTCTCTCTCTCTCTCTCTCTTTCTGAAAATCACAGCGCGCAAGCAACTTAGGCCGGAAGTAATTGTTGTTAAATAACGGTACAACAAATACACGATATTGCTGAGAGCGGAGATTGTATTATTTTGACGTTTCATACAAAATCACAACTTTAACGAAAGAAACTCAAATCGAGAACCCCGTCCGCCGGCAGAACGGACGGCTGTGCCAGTGAAGAGACTGACAATGATGGATGACTACGCGTGATGCGTGTGAGTCAAGCCCATACGACGCCATACCTTCGAGCTCATATGTGGCCTCTGGTCCGAGCGAGCCGAACTGTTGCTATCGTTGCATCTGTGCAGAACACCCTCCTGAAACACGACCCCCGATCAACGCGATCCTCCCCACATCGGCTAATTTCTCGAAGCTATTAACTTTTTCTCCGACAAAGGCCAAAAGTCTTCCGAGCAGGAGAAAGGAGAAAGAGAAGAAAAACCGCAGTTAGAAGACGAAAATTGCGTTTCCACTTGCACTCCGTTGTGCGTTACTCCGCTCGGTGTTAAACGTGTGACAATATTCCGGAATACTCGATCGTGCCAACAGCAACCGTTCAGCGGCTCGTTGCTGTTGAATGCGGAGGAACGTCGTAGGCACGTAACAGTAAAGATTCGCGCGTGAACGTCTCAATGGGCATACACGCAGTCCCAAGGTTTTACAATATCTATCTTTATCGTCAATCATGCGGCGCTATCGTGGTCATATCGTGGGGCGCCGAGGGTTGGCTTCGGAGTCTGCAGAGTCAAGGGTTACTAGCCTCGAGTCGTGCGATACTTGCCCTTTCCGCCCAACCGTCGCAACCATAAATCTTATGATCGTCAAGGGACGACTCATTCACGCCACTTTGCTTTCCATCCGATATCCGCTAAGCAAGAAACGCATGGATTCCTACGACTTTCAAGCTGATCCGCAGCAGGCATCACTATCGCGGCTGCAGCTCGTATCTTTCATTCTGTCCAGCGCGATTCGTTACAATCGTTAATTCGCAGGCATAGGGACGCCGCGCGGCGACGCCACGGGGATTTAACGTCTCGCGAATATTCCACGGCCAAAATAGATTAATTAATCGCGTCTTATGCGCGCGCGAGCGCGCCCTCACATATAGAGATCACCGCCGGGATCGCCGCCGATTGTTTTATTTAATCGATTTCGCACAGTACTCCCTGAGACAAAAAACCGCGTCGAAAATCGAGAGACGTCCGAAGATGGAAGGCAGCAAGACACGAGTAGCCGACAACGGTTCTTACTTCCTTTTCTTCCAAGGCGCGCACGAGAGAAATGTCGTTAACGCTTAAATGTTAATAAATGTAGATAGAGAATAGGGGGATCCCGTATATCTCAGGCAGATAGAGGCTCACCTGAGCGCCCGGTGACTAAGTGAAGAAGGTAAGAAAGCGCTGCTATGCTGGCGGCCGCTTTTGAGGCTCGGTTTGTCATGGTTCGCATGATAGATGGAGGAAGCGGGAGCTTCGGCTCTTCAGTGTATATACGGCGTTGAGTTTTAATCACGGAGACACCTTGCGATCATCCCGTCCGTTAACTCGTTCTCCTACCGCAAATAGAATCTTACACGCCTCGCGCTCCCGTTGCCGGCAACAACGAAATTGTGAAACTTATTTTCGACCGGTTCGTCCTTTAATCTTTCTTGAGAATATCTTGGAAGTTAATAGTCGCGATTCTTGATTGAACTTCTGGTCATTCGGAAGTTAGAATCACAGGTTACATCGAGAGAAATGATAACGGATTTCCGTCAGTAAGAACGGTTTTAAACGTTATCCGCTTATTAGCAGACGCTGTGAACCGTAATAATCAAAGTTGAAAAATGAAGAATAAAGTTGAAAAACGAAGAATTTTCAAAAATGTAAAAGTCGATCGCTCTGTGTTCACGCTTGTTTGAACTGTCCAATAGATGAATGTTGTAAATTGAATGAGATATGTTTATTTGCAGGTTATCATCAACTCTCAATCGATGTTTTCTATTATTAGGCTAACTATGATCCTGCAGTCATAAGAAACGATCGATGACGAACTACCTAACCTAACTGAACATTTTGAAAAAAAAGAAGACGATGGACATGTGCGAGCGTCGTGATGATGAGTTGGCCTGTGTCACGCCATGGTTCAAATATTACTTATATCCGGCCTAAACAAGACACACCCCAATAAACTTTACTAATTGAACTACATCTGATGTAACATCGAACTCGTTTTTCGTTATACAATATCTGAAATCTTAGCAACCACGAGATTGATGACGACACGGACAATAATACAACTTTACTTTAGACAATTCGGTTGATCGGACACCGATATAAAATTCGATTACTTGTAACCGATGAACGTATAGTCTTCCCCAGAGATAGGCTTACATCGAGATGAGACGACAAATCAGTCGCAAGCAAATACGTGCGTGTGTAACGGAGCAGAACGGCCCTATAAAATGACTAATGATGTAAGGTGGGTGTAAAGTGAAGCGGCTATTGATTCGTAGACGCATAAATGACACGTCTATCGGCTACCGAGGCCACCAGTCATGCTGAGGTTTCAACTCTTAGCATGGTGAACCCCCGAACCTCCTCACTCGACGACCCGGTAGCTATAGAGACGATGATAAACGGTCCATAGTAGCTGGAAGCTGCGGTTTACAATTACC